TTGATGCATTAGAAATAGTTCATTTATTTTTATTTCTGTATAGTATTTTATCCTATGAATATTGTATGGCTGGTCCATTATCCTATAAATAGATTAGGTTATATACATTTTTTGTTTTTATAAGCAGTAATGATATAAATATATGTCTCTATAAGCACATGGGCAAGGCATTTTGTTTTTTTGAAAATGATAAATGCCAGGCTTATAGGTGTGTACATGTTTAATTTGACTATGTAACATCAAATTGATTGCCAGAGTACAGTATATAGATGTAACTCTTTACTTCATAACCTTACTAACTCTTCATATTGACAGATTGGTTTTAAAATTTGTTAACCATCTCTTGAATATAAAATACTTTTTCAGTAGAGCTTTAAATTACATTTCCTTGACTACAAGGGAGGCTAAATGTCTTTCCTTGTTTATTGTATACTAGAGGCCCGATGCACGAAAATTTGTGCAAGAGCATGCCTTCCTTCCCCTGGCTGCCGGCACCGGCTTTCCTCTGGCATCCAGGACCTGGGCTTCCCTCCTCTGGCCACTGGCAGGTACCCAGAGCCCAGGCTGGCAGCCCTCAGCCCACCCACAGGCACCCAGGACCGGGCTGGCTTCCCTCCAGCCCCAGCTTCCTCAGGAAGGATGTCCGGAATGACATCCAGAATATGTTCGGTCTAATTAGCATATTACTCTTTTATTATTATAGAGTAAGGGTTAGAAGCTCCACGCAGCCTGCTGTTCAATCATCTGGTTCTCCCTCACTGCCCCCACTGCTGGCCTGGTCTCCCAACACAGCTGGCTGTTCGGTCATTTGGTTGTCCCACACTACCCCCCATCCCCCGCCAGCCTGGTCGCCCCTCACTGCCCCCCTCCCACCAGCCTGGTCACCCCATGCAGCCTGCTCTTCGGTCATTTGGTCATCCCTCACTGTCCACCCTGCCGGCCTGGTCACCCCACACAGCCTGCTGTTCGGTCAACCAGTTGTTTCGGTTGTCACAGTTACTGCCTTTATATATATAGAGAGATAGGTGTGGTTTTAAACTTTTGCTGAATTTAAAGCTATTTTAACTTGCATCGTAAACTGAAACAGGTTAGTATTTAATTCTTATATCTGAATTTAGTAATTGACAAACTACTGATAGTATGTTCTACATTGCTATTTCTCAAAATATAGTCCAGGAGCCATCTGGATTGCAATTACTATTGATGTTCTTTTTAGTAATATTATATCAAATCTGTGGACTCAGAATTATGTAGATCAATGGGAAGAGTGGAAGGGTCTGTATTTTGTAATTTCCCTATGTTATGAATATTCAAATGGGGAACGACAGTTTTATATCATGATGTCTAATAGATGGCATGCATGCCTCCACTTCCTTATTGCATATTCATTGTGGAAATTACTAATTGGTTGCAATATTCTTTCCTACAGGACTGACATAAAACCATAATACTCAACACAGAGCCTAGGCAGATGGATGGCTTGACAGATAAAATAACCTCCCTTGAAACTTTTCTTTGGCAACATATTTTTTAAAACACAGTTAAGAATTTGGAGATAAACACTGATATTTTTTAAGTTTCAAATAGGTGTCAGAAAATGTTGCACAAAATATTGTCTATAAGGCTTCAATTAGGGGAGAAAGCAAGACTGAATTTATGAAGTCATTAACTCTGGAAACTGTACTCATAATTACAAAAAGTAATCAACTATGGAAGAAAGCATAAAAGAAGATACAGTTTTTTGAAAGACATAGTAGAATGAGACCATTAAATAGTCTTTTTGAATCCACTTTGTAGTTTCTGAATGCTTAAATGTGCATTGTATAAATTATGTTCATAATTATGGCTTAAAATATTCATTAAAAGATAAGGTATTTTTCATACATTATGTTCAAGGCAGTTTGTGGTATGTTTTAGAAAGTTCCCCAGCAATGAAGTTAAAGTAGAAGGGGTACATGAAATGTAAGCTTTTTGCTAAATGATAAAATTAACAAAGAATTTTCAATCCTAATATTTAAAAAAACTCATTTTTACAATCCGTATTTACTTTGTTTTATTCATCTATTACAATACTGTTTACTGAAGACATTAGTTAATAGTCAATATTTGCACATTAACTTGTTTTATCATACTCTATAAAGTCAAACTTATTATAATATGACTAGTTTTATGTAGTGAATTTAGAATTAGATGAGGAAATTTAGTGTCAGTAACTCCTATAAAATGATATTTTTAAATGCCTTTGATAAATATGTTAAGGGTGATAATTTCTTACTGAAATAGTAAATAAAAAATATAAAACATATTTATTGTTTTTTTTAATAACTGCACAGACTGGACTCTGTAAATATTCAGATCTATATTCATACAGTATAAACATAATGGCCCTGGCGCTGGAGGGTTACAGGTTTGATTCTTGGTCAAGGGCATGGAGTGGGGTTGCAGGTTTTAGCCCTTGCCCTCATCAGGGCTTGTGGGGGAGGCAACCAATCAATGTGTCTCACATCGATGTTTCTCTCTCTCTCGCTCTCCTCTTCCCCTCCTTCACTCCTTTCCCCTCTCTAAAATGCAATGGAAAAAATATCCTTGGGTCAGGCTTAACAACAACAAAAAATGATAGTAATGACATGAATTCTAAAGCAAATAAATCCTTTCACAAAATTACTTTTGGCCATTCTTTTTTTTAAAAAAAATATATTTTATTGATTTTTTTTACAGAGAGGAAGGGAGAAGGATAGAGAGTTAGAAACATTGATCAGCTGCCTCCTGCACACTCCCCACTGGGTATGTGCCTGCAACCAAGGCACATGCCCTTGACTGGAATCGAGCCTGGGACCCTTGAGTCCGCAGGCCGACGCTCTATCCACTGAGCCAAACCGGTTAGGGCACTTTTGGCCATTCTTTAAAAAATATTTACCATGTTAACATTCATACATAAGCACAAAAATCAGTTAATATTTTATATATTTAAAAAATGTAACCATGTGGAAATCTGATGATTAAAAATTTTTAAAACATGTATCACCTTTTCTTTTTACTTAAAATATTAATAAAAATTAATTGTTTTAGGTGAATAGGTTGACCTGGCAAACTAAGGAGGCAGTTTCAGAGACATTCTTTAAGAGAACTACTTGTGACAAACATACCATCAATTTTATGGCCAAATTAAAACAATTTCTATCAGATAAATTTCAAACTTGCTCTTTTCCTTACTGGAATTATGGCAACAAGCATTGGACTTAGGGTGAGGATATATGACTTCCAGTTTTGGCTTCTATTTGGTTAATAATTATTATAGAGGAAAATCATGTGATTAAAGAAATATAGTTGGACAAGGTTGTTCATGTTGTGATCATGTGAACATCTGAGAAAGAGGCACTAACACTTAAATATAATTTCATGTTTGGGGAGAAAGAACTTAAAATGGATTGGTTAAAATAAAGACACAAACTTTTACAGATGCCTATATCATCTTTATATTTTAAATATTAACATTCAAGTACTTTATGGACAATAAAGATTCTTGCCTCCTTACGTTTTGTAAACTATTACATCAAGGACCATTATTGTGTTTATCTAAAAAGCGATCTCAAGTAGAAAAATTCATTGAGTGCTTCTGTACACTCTAATTATCTATAATAATAAAAGTGTAATATGCTAATTAGACCAGACAACGGATGGCCTTCTGGATGAAGCCGGGGCTGTGAGGGCTGAGGCAAGCTGCCACAGTTGCGAGGGCTGAGCCCCTTGCATGAATTTAGTGCACTGGGTCCCTAGGAACTTATAAAAAGAAACATTTCAACTGTTCTTGTTTTAACAAATTCCACACTATCTGACTTTCCTTAAACTTTGCTCTAAAAATAACATGGAATAGTTTGGGGAACACTACTTTAAAAGCAATAAATTTTTTACTGAATAACTCTACAACTCTAGTTAAATGTAACTAGAATATAATAGTGGGTTGGGAGTATCTTGCCCCCTTTTTAATGATACCTTTACAGAGAACATGATAGCTTCTTTGCCTCTATTTTTAGGTTGATATCATCTGTAAAATCCCAAGGAAGTTTGACCAGTGATTAAATGATAGCTTGGTAGGTCTTGATAACCTAACTGTATTTGAGAGTAGACCTCTTTTCATAATTTACAAAACAAGCCCTTGAGATTTATTTAGCTGTACTAACACTTTCTATTTAAATATGTTTAAATAGTTCAAGCTTAATTTTATCTATAATAGTAATGTAAGTTTCTGTGTAAGAGTAACTTTTAACTTGAATCTTTTGTAACATTTTTAGCTCTTTTATTTCTAATTATTCTGACTTTCTACAATATTCTCATGAATATTCAATTTTTCCCCTTTCACTTCATTTCTTGATGTTACTCAACCATACATTTTTTTCATCCCAGTAACTAAGAGGATGTATAATAATTTAAATTTGATACAGCCAAATTACAGAGGAAGTAGATTTGCTAATTAACTTAATTTTATCTCTGTGCAATATCCTATCTACTTTGTTTGCATTATATATTATGTTTGTTAAATATAGTTCATGTTTTTTGTCAGGACTGCTAATCTTTTTTAGTCCAACTGTATTGAATAGCCAAGGATAAGGAGTTTACAAACCTCAATTAAGTAATATTATGGTAAGTTCCCTGAACTGTTGCAAATTACATTAGCAGAAATGAATGAATTAACTTATTACTAAAGGATAGAGTTGTAAAAGAATAAACAATGCAAAGGTAACACTTCCTGTGGTATTGGATTTAAGAAGAGTTTCTAAGGCTTTTATCATTCATTGACACATGGCAAAGGGATTTCATTCAAATCAGTTTCTTCTAGTTCTTCAGAGTTTTCATTAGTGGTATTTATCATTCACAAAGCTCTGATATAATAAATTCTAATAATAAATGAAAAGAGAATCTCATTCAGTATCAGAGAGCTAGCTCCAATTTGGGGGGGTATTAATATTCATAGCGACAATATTTTTCCTGTAGAATTCCGCATGCTTAATGTACTTTTGAAACACTCGCACTTAGATGGAATTCTATTGGACATGACCAAGAAAATAGGTATGAGACTGTGACTACTTTGATAAATAGAGAAATTTTTTAAGTCTTTGGTTAGGAATTAATGGATTATCTAATCAAAAATTATATTAATCCCATAAGTAATGCATATGAGTAGAAAACAATAACAGATGATGAAACTTCTTATTTGGTAGAGAAAGGAAGAAAAAATCTTAAGAGGAATTCAAGTAATATGTAAATGAATCTTACTTAAATATTTGTGCATTTGTCATTTTTAGTAAATAAATGATTGAGGTAATTCCATGATAAAATATTATGTGTCACATTTCTTCTTTTAAATTGCATGGTTATATAGAAGTTTACCTTAATATAAGAAATTCTTCTTGTGTTATTAAATACATTTTCATGTTTACAACCCAAAGTCTATCTCACGATAGCTAATTTTGTTAAGTAGTCCTAGTTCTCCAATGGTGTATTTGTTCCCAAAGTAAATTTAAAATTTTAAGAGGATCCATTGCCTTTCAATTCTGATTTTACATTTTTGTCCTTTTTTGCTTATTAAAACTCCAGTTGTGTTGATGAGTGCTCAGGATTCTGGGAAGCAGTTAGTCTTCCAAATAGTGAACGACAAGAGGTAGTAGCCTGTACTTTTGTTTGCCCTTAACTATTCAATTCTCAGATATTGACCAGTGGAACAAAGTAATTGAGCAACTAGGAACACCATGTCCGGAATTCATGAAGAAATTGCAACCCACAGTCAGAAATTACGTGGAGAATCGGCCTAAGTATGCAGGACTCACCTTTCCCAAGCTCTTTCCGGATTCCCTCTTCCCAGCGGACTCTGAGCACAATAAACTCAAAGGTAAGCCCATCGGGGACACCCGAGGACAGCTCTGTGGGCGATGGGCTAAGCATGCAAATGATAGAGGCACAGCTCTACGTGAACTACCTAAATTTAAGGAGAGATAGTTCGTTTTTTTGTATTAGAATTTTATTGTGTTGACTATACTTGAAACAAGTATTGGGTAAGGCTGGGAAATCTTTATAATAGTGAGGCTTCCGTTATGATGGTGTTTATTGCAAGAGGATCCAAACTGTAATATAATACAATTATAATCATTAATATAATTACGACTGTGTGGTGTTGAGGGAATGCAGTAGGAAATTAATTAGAGACAGGTCATTCTAGGATTCCTTCAAGGGTTTCTGATTGATTCAGGGAGATATCCTGGTTCAGGAGAGGTATTTCTTAAAAGATTTTTCTTACAAAGGGCAAGTGGTGAAGGATTTTAGAACTGACTGGATATCCAGAGAGAAGGATAATACTGAAGTGTGCAACAGTGGTGCAGGTTAATTATTTCATGGGGCTTATTTAGAATCTTAGAACTATTTTGTCGTGTAACTAAAGGACCAATGTAACATACATCAAAATCATTGTTCCGATTCTTTTTATTACCTGGAAAATATTTTCAACACAAGTTGTTTGTTGTAAAATCTTGGAGAAACAGGTGTCTGAGTTTTATTGGATTTTAGGGAATGCTTAGTCACATTTTTTTTTTTTTGCAGGTGTCTGAGTTTTATTGTATTTTAGGGAATGCTTAGTCACATTTTTTTTTCATTTAGAGTGACACATGGGATTTTGCCTACGCATTTTATATTCAATATAAACACTTTCATTAATAAGTATTTTTTCAAATACTTGTCTATAGCTGTGAACTTTAGTAACAAATCTTAGTTTCTTCACCCACAAAATTGGGATAATCATGCCTCAGTCGTAGGAATAGAGACAAGGAATAAATTTGGCAAAGTTATAAAGTATAATATAAATAAATTTCTAATTCTTTTTGTAACAGGGCATTTCTGAGAACATGATTTTGAAACAAATTTGATTTTCCCTTCTGCCTGGGCGCAAATCCTGGCACAACAAATACTCAATAACTGTTAGATATAAAAATAATAACTGTATTTATTATTATTGAAAATGATCCTATACATTATAAAAACACACACATACTTTTGAAATTTAACCCCAAATATTCAGGGGGAGCAATATATTAGTTACATATTTATTTATTTATTTTTCAAAATATATTTTATTGATTTTTTACAGAGAGGAAGGGAAGGGATAGAGAGTTAGAAACATCGATGAGAGAGAAACATCGATCAGCTGCCTCTTGCACACTCCCCACTGGGGATGTGCCCGCAACCAAGGTACATGCCCTTGACCGGAATCGAATCTGGGACCCTTGAGTCCTCCGGCTGAAGCTCTATCTACTGAGCCAAACCAGTTAGGGCTATTAGTAACATATTTAATTTCAAGGCTTAATTAGAAACGACTATGGATGTAAATGAGACAGGGAAACTGCAATGTACTATTATTTCCCAGGCTCTTACCATCTCCTCCGAACTTTCATCCAGCGTGTCCTCAATGTGCAGCATTGTTTTTGTGTCTGTGACATTACCCAGCTGCATTTGTTCCTTCAGCGGCCTCCACCAGCTCTCTGAATGGCAATAGACTAAATCATTACTAAATCTACTGCTTTTAAGATCAACACTGCCTATATACAGATCAAAGAAGATCTATGCCTATATGCAGATCTATGGATCATTCTGCAACTCCCCCCACTTCCTACTTAACAACATATCAATGTGAATATATATATAGATCAACCTCATTCTTTGAAATTGCCATATACAATTCCATGGTACAGTTGTATCAGGGGTCATTTGGTTGCTCTATAGATGGAAATTTAGACTGTTTAAAAACTTTTTTATTCCATAACCAATGCTGCAATGAACTTCCCTTCTCTGTGCATTACATGAACATGTGCAGTCATTTCTCTACACTGAATACTAATAGGTAAAAGTGGAACGGCTGAGTCATAAGGTATTCACATTCTAAACTTTAATAGATACTGCCAAATTTGCTCTCTAAAAATCTGCATCAATTTATATTCCCACCAACATGAATGAAATTACTTGGTGTTCCTGGACATTACACCATCTTTTATTTTTGCAAATCTGCTGGATAAAACATATTTCATTGTTTCATTTTATGTTTCCCTAATCACTAGGTGAAGTTATCTGATTTTGGGGATGAAGGTACTACTTGGTTTTTTATTTCCTTTTATTTTATTTTTTTATTATATATATTTTTTTACTTCAGAGAGGAAGGGAGAGAGAGAGAGAGAGAGATAGAAACATCAATGATAAGAGAGAATTATCAATTGGCTGCCTTGAAGATGCCCCCACTGAGGATTGAACCTGCAACCTGGGTATGTGCTCTAAGAATTGAACACTGACCTCCTGGTTCATAGGTTGACAATTAACCACTGAGCCACACCGCTAGGCAATCTTTGTTTTCCTAATTTCCTCTCCCTCCAACAAATGTCCTTGCCAAAATAAAAATTTTATTAATTGTTTTTCTCATTCGTCATTTCAGCCAGCCAAGCCAGGGACTTGTTGTCAAAGATGCTAGTGATTGACCCAGCCAAAAGGATATCAGTGGACGATGCCTTACAGCATCCATACATCAACGTCTGGTACGACCCTGCTGAAGTGGAGGCGGTAAGGCCTAAGCTTCTTTTACTTTCCTTCCACAAACAAATCATAGTAACTGGGTGCTCAGTGGTAAAATGTGAGAGAATTAGAAACCCAATGAGCATACCAAGGACCTTCATGAAACCCCTAAGTCACAAACTTATTACTTCCCCTCTAAAAGTTTTCTTCTACCTGTGTTTTAAATGTATTTCTTTTTCAGGATTTCCTGTGAGAGATGGTGATTTAGTCCAACAAACCTTAGCGGCCCATGAGATATTTGCATTTGTTTTTGTTAAATTGTTAACTCTTCCTTTGTGTTTATTATCAGCCTCTCCTGAGGCAAACTAAGCAGCAGAAAATGTGATAGAGGATAAGTTGCTTTCCCTCTATTTCCTTAATAAGATGCCTTCAGTAAAGTTTAGTACTGAAAACATTTAGATTTATAAAGCTTCTACCAGGCCATTGGTGGCTTTGTGAAACCTTGCATGAATTAGATGAGAAAATTGGATATTCCAATAAGGACAGTATTTCAGGTTCATTCTAAAATGACTACCACAATAAGATGTATCTCCGTATTTTAAATCTAGACATAGTTTAAGAATCCCCTTGGAAGCATAACTCTCTCTTTTCTTTCTTTCTTTAAAAAACAAACAAACAAACTATTTTCCAGTCATTTAATAACTTCAATCACTTTCTTACATCTTTGTCTTTCTCCTTTTCTCTGTGTGGCATCAGGGCTGTACAGCGCAAATGGGGTATTGGTATTGTTGCCCATGTGTGTTTACAGGGCTACTACTGGGGATCCCCTTTTGTCCCTCTTTTAAATGGTAATATCAGCAATATTACCTTGTACCCAAAACATCAAAATCTCTTCAAATTCTTAGAACACCAATACTAAATGATCTCATTTTCTTTCACATAATACCTTCAAATTACTTTATTTGAATTGGTTCTTAATCTTCTATTTGGAATGCTCTTTTTGTTTTTTTTTCTCTTGCATCCTTTCTTCTACCCCAAGTTAATCTTGCTCCAGCATAGTTTTGCTTTGTTTCAGCTTCATTTCCTCTTCTTCATTGTGTGCTTGCCCATGTCAGAGATGGCAGATTTAAACTGACATAGTTCTTACCCTTTCATTCTTTAAAAAAATTATTTTTAATTGATTTCAGAGAGGAAGGGAGAGGGGGAAGAGAGATAGAAACATCAACGATGGGAGAGAATCATCCATTGGCTGCCTCCTACATGCCCCATACATGCCCTACACTCGGGATGGAACCTGACTGGAATCGAACCCAGGACCCTCCAGTCCTCAGGCTGATGCTCTATCCACTGAGCAAAACCAGCTAGGGCACCCTCTCATTCTTCATTGGAGAGGTGAGATCTGATAGATGGGAGTGAGGATCAAATTTTATAGAGGTAGCATTTAAAATTCTGCTTTTCATAGTAACCAATCCTTACGCAGTAACACATTTCAGAGACAACACTTTGGTGATAAATTAGCCTCCCAATTCTGGATACGGGTGTGCAATCCTTGATGACATTTTCTTAAGATCTGCTCTCCTCAGCACTTTTACAGCAATGTAACTTCATTTTGTTTCAAATTAATTTTTAGTCGCTTGAGTTTTACAAAATAAAAGCCCTAAAATTAAATACTTAAATTATAATGCTCTTAGAACTAAAAAACTAACGTTCTTACAACTAAAAAAAAATAGAGTCTTTTTCAATCTCTCACTCTTGGGAAATACTTTTAAGGATGTTCTTGGGGTAGAATAAAGTAATGAAATAAGTAAGATAGAGTATAATGTATGTGTATGGGACAATTAAGTATAGTATAGAATTTTTTTGTGATGATTTTCAAGAAAATATTTTAGGTTATGTTGATAAATTTTTGAGGCAAACATACATTATTTGAAATTGTTGCTCCTTGTTGGTTTTGGTAGTTCAAATCATGTGGCATACTTTTCTTACATCTATATGTGCAATCTGTTTTAATGGATTGTGGCTAGTGTTTAATTGGGGTCATAAAGTCTGCATTTGTAATTCGCTTGTAATTATGTTGCCTACAGCAGAGATGGTTGCTTAGAACCTATAACAGTATATTAATGAATAGTTTCAATGAGTTTTTAAACTTATTTTAATTCTTTATGAAAATTCATTTGAAGGATAAAGAGATGAAACTTAGGGTACTAAAATGGCTAGAGCCTTCTTTCAACCATGTCAATATTATCATTTTGGGGCAAGGATAGCAACAACGCAAGACATATGAATTTTAGGAGAAGGATCTGTAGAGCCTGAAGGTCAAGGAAAGGGGATCAGTTAATACACAGAACAAGCAAGTCTTTAGCACCTTGACTAAGATCATTAGTCAGACGAGGGTAAACATTTTACGTCTAGACGTGTTGCAGTGAATGGGTTGGAATCCTGACCCTTGGGCAAGGTTAGTTTATTGCTCTATGAAACGTATCAAGAGGTCACAACTAAGGATGTTAGAAGCAGTGATCGCTATGCTTCCTGCAATACCCTTAGAATTCGTGCCTTTGCTATTGCATGGGAATATATATCTAAAGTATGATGACCGTGCTTCACAGACACATGGCAAAGCTATAATGGAATCACAAGTTTCCTGCCAGGACTACAAGACTATTTTACAAAGTAAACTCCAGTGTGTCTCTATAATCCAAATAAATGGAAGTATGAAATAATAAAAATTTCCATGGTTATAAGTCATCAGAAGATCCAAGATTAGACAGCTTTTAAGTAACTTACATGATGTTAGAAAGAGAAGGAAATCAAAAGATGAAACAAAAATGAGGTCCATTGGAAGTAAGTAAACAAGTGGAGAGAGGAATAAAGGAGGAAGTGCAAAAGAACGTGATGTCTTCAGAAAAAGTAGAAAGAATAGTAGAGAAATGCTGTGTGTACTAATCTATTAATCATACTACTATCTCATCATGTTTCCAAAAGTGCCAAAGTACCGAATGAAAAGAGAAGAGCATATGAATGCTGTCATAACTCTGAGGGAAATTATTCATGTTTTAAAAGTCAAATGTCAAGGTTAATAGTGACCTATCAGTGTAATAGCACAGAAAGATTTTGAAGTTATAACTGCTCAAATTATTCACAAGCTATTATTCAAATAAGGTTCAGAGTAATAAAATCGTGTGTCCCAAAATGAGCACAAAGGCCACACTTCATGTCAATGCTATTTCATGAAACAACTGTGGGAGGCACTCTAACTCTGTTTCGGTCTTCATCAAGAGGGCAAAGACATCATACACACACCAATGTAGTGTATTGGGTTGTGTGCATCTCCACAGGCATAAAAGATGGGTTAGGTTTCAATTTCTCTTCTGCCACTTACTATCTGGTCAAATTTTTAAACCTTTCTGCCACTCAGTTTTTGTTGTTGTTGCTCTTGTTTTTAAACTAAGATTAGGGAACAGTCCCACTTACTGTGTAGTGTTCTTCTGAGAATTTTAAGAGTTAATGTTCATAAAGTGCTTAGAACAGTACTTGGCCGCCAGGAAGGGTCATATACATTATTATCATTCTCATTATTATTACTATTATGACTTTTACATACAAGGCTTTACTAGCTTTTGATATAGTAAAGATAGGTATGTATATATTCAGGGAAAAAGACCAGCTGCCCATGAAACTGCAGAAATATTCTACAACATTAAAAGATAATCAGAGGCTCGGGAGGGTTAGAAATCAACCGAAGGACTTGTATGCATGCATATGAGCATAACCAATGGACACAAGACACGGGGGGGACAAAACTTCAAGTTAAACCAAAAAGAAAAATAAATCACTTAAAATGATCTAGTTCCTACAAGATTTTTAAATGTTGCTCCTTTTTCTTTTCAGCTGATATATATATCCACTGCTACCTTCCAAGTGTAAGAGAATCCAGTGCCATTAATTTAAATAAAGATGCAGACATATGATACAGTTCATAAATCCTCACTGTAACTATTATTATGAAACGAGGGGATATTCAAGGTGGTTTGTGAGAATCACTTTGAATATTTGCCCTGTGCTCTGTTGGAGGGAAATATGGAAATAGTGAGGATTAGTTGCCTTGTTCCTTACCAGATTCTTGAGTGTAGACATCCTGCTAGGGTAGAGGGTAGTTTTCACCTCGCCACCCCTGGGAGTAGAGATGAAGAAACCCTTTCAGAGTATTTTCACAAGCTAAGGAGGAATTGATTAACAATGTCTCCCCGCATATGAAAACAGGAATTAAGAAGAACATGAAATGTGACCATTTTTTTTAAAGACACGGTTTTATTTGTCTCAGAAACTCTAGAACAGGCCAAGAAAGTGCTGAGGGCAGCAGCCTTACTAATGGTTTCTGCAGTTACTCTGCATTGCTAGGGGTGGGCGAGGGAGAGGGGGAGGAAGGAGAGGGAGGGTGTGCTCAGCCACCACACCAAAGACAGTCATCTGACAGAGGTCAGTTAAAACTTCTGGGGCCAGAGAAGGACGTGTCCTTACTCCTCAATTCATGACAAAAATAAAGGATGACGAGCTGATACTAGAAGCATCTAAGAGGAACTGGGCTGGGGCTAGGCTCGCAGCCAGCAGTGTTCGGTCAGATCCACTGTTGTGCTGATGCCTTCCTGTCAGAGAGGCCCAGGAACAGTCCTAAGTGGTCCAAACATTACTCTGGGAATCTGGACAGAGGGGTATACCCGGCTTAGCCAGTTAGGCAGCTAGTATCTTAGATTCTGTTCTTGAAAACCCAGAGGAGGGGTGGCAAGTAACATAGGACCTTCTGTATTGCAGCCAAGTCCATGTTGCAGGAGAGAATGTTAGAGCAGAGGCTTGCACATGGGGCTCCGGCTGAGAAGTAGACTGAGGAGAGAGGTTGGGCGTGTTTTGGTTGGGAATAGAAGTACAGGTATCATTCTTATAGAGACTGAGGGAGAAATTGTGACGAATCCAATCTAACCAGTTTAGGCGGAGCGTGATTTGGGAAGCAAGGCCCATGCCAAGCTTGTTTATAATTTCTTACCTGATTCAAG